ATTGAGCTTAGCATGAACGTCGTAAACTGGTTCGTAAAATTCATGGGCGACAAGGATCACTGCAAATCCATCCTGTGGTCATTACTTCCTTTGAAATAGCAATGCGAGACAGAAATGCCCTGCAGGTATCAAAGTTCTCCTGAAAGCCCTAGGACTGGTGGAATGCTTCATCACTAATAGCAATGCTTTTGAATATAGTAAAAAAAAAAAAAACAACCCGCATGCTGCCTGTACAATGAGTGTCATACTGTAGCATTTATATTGGCATTCACTTCTGTTTCCTTGGTAGCAGTGGCTCTGGAATTTTATGCTTAAGAAGTTCTTCAAACAGAACACTATCCAAAAAGTGAAGTAAGCAGATAGTTACAGCATACCTACTCTTTTCATTACCTCTCTGTAGGTGATGGTGAGGGGGACTTGGAGTAAAACTATGCGTAGTGTATAAATATCATGGTTAACATCATAATGGTGTTTTCAGCAAGATGAGTTTCTTGTAGAAGTTTTATTGTAATCACGCGAGCTTTCTAAATGCGGTCACCATGAAGCACATGTATGGCATTAACTGTTTGGACTCAGCTCTTCTAGTCTGGCAAAGTGAGAAACAACAGTAAAAAGAATCTTTGTAATGGGCAGCATGAGTCAGTCTTATTAGTGCTGCTTATTTCATCTGGCACATGTTTTGATGGAGTAAAGCTAAGATTTTTCTGAAATATCTTTTTGTAGCACTGCTTCTGGAAATACCTGATAGTAGATGAAGGTCACAGGATTAAAAATATGAACTGCCGCCTTATCAGAGAATTGAAACGATTTAATGCGGACAATAAACTCCTGTTGACTGGTACTCCCCTGCAAAACAACTTGGCAGAGCTTTGGTCCTTGCTTAACTTCCTGTTGCCAGACGTGTTTGATGATTTGAAAAGGTAGGTTGCGATCTGATGGTGAAAACTATTCCCGTTTGTTCTGTTTAGGCATTATTATGTCTCTTTAATTATTAAACTTGCATCAGCATGTGAAGAGCTATTTTATGGTATGGTTGTAATTTGGTATGATTATTTGGTGGTAAATGCTTTGAAATGTGTCTTGCCTTCACACTTAGTTGTTTCAGAAAGTAAGGAAGTAATTGTCAGCTCTGTGGGTAGTGGAAACTCAATTCTGAGCTAAGACATGAGCATTTGGGGGGAGAGATGTTTGTCTAATCGTAAGTGCCTGGTGCTGCTTGAGATTCTCTGAGGTGCTGGAGAAAGCTGTGTGAGGCTGGCAGACATGGGACCCATGGGGAGATGGATCCTTTTCTGAAGCAGTAGGGTGGAAGCACATTGCCAAAACAGTCTAGACTAATTTTGGAAAAAGTTACAGAGTAGATAAAATATAATAGATCATAGTGAATATTCCAACTAATACAAGTATTTTTAGCAATCACTTAAAACTTTAAGCATCTGAATTGACAGGTATATTTCACAAATACCTCCTGTTCACCCCCTGTTTAAGATGGATGTTAGCACTTTGTTTTTCTTAAATTGCAGGATAAGAGAAGAATAGTGTACTTAAAAAATGAAGAATAATAGCTATGAAGTAAGCTATTCCTCTTTTTTTTTTTCTTTGTTTTTATAGCTTTGAATCCTGGTTTGATATTACCAGCATTACAGAAACTGCCGAAGATATTATTGCTAAAGAAAGGGAGCAAAACATCCTGCATATGCTGCATCAGGTTTTCACTTACTCTTTGTGTTGGTTTTTTTATTTCTAACATTGACCGTTACTATGATGTATGTCAAAATCTTGTTTGTGGAGCTGAATTCTGGGCCTGAGGCTTTTATTGTGCCACTCCTTGACTTCCTTAGACTTGCTGGGTTTTTTCCAATCTTTACAGCACTTATAAATGTTGAAAGGAACAATATACCTCTTTGATAATGACTCATTTTTGTTCTTGGAACTGAATTGAGTTTAGTCAAGCTTAATTGCAGTTCCTTTCTTCTGTTTGCCAAAAGATTTAATTGGTATATTTATTTTGTTGAAAGATAACTTTGAGGGAATTTATGTAACTTTTAGGTGTTGAACAGAATACCTTTTGACAAATTAGTTGTATAATGTGCCTGTCTTCAAAACAAAGCTAACACTCAAAACTTTTTTTTTTTAAGGGGGTGTGTGGAAGTAAATGCTTACAGAATTATCATTTTGCCATCAAAAGCTGATGGTGAGAGATATAAATTGTATCTTCTAGATATAATTGTCAATGACAATTTATTATTTGTTATTTTGGGCTTTCCTGGAATAACTTGATTTAAGAAATATAACAATCAGAATGAGCTGTTTCATAATAAAATTACTTTCAGTTACTTAAAATTATTTGAAAGGTCTGTAATGTAGTTACTACTGCACCCTTATTAAACCCTTCAAAATTTTTCAAATGTCAAGGGATGTGTTGTTTGTATTACTAGCAAAAAGTTTTGGAGTAGGCATCCATATTAAAATATGAAATGTGAAACTCTGCAAATTAACTCCCTTGCTTTAAATTGTCAAAATAGCATTATATCAGTAGACCTGTTTGTGTGTTGTGGTTTTGGGTTTGTGTTTTTGGTTTTTGGTGGTTTTTGTTTTTTTTTTTTAAACTAGCCATGTTGAGAGCTTTGAGTAACTGTAACACATCTGATCAACATTTCAGATTCTGACACCTTTCTTACTGAGAAGACTGAAATCCGATGTTGCTCTTGAGGTTCCTCCTAAACGAGAAGTTGTGGTATATGCACCACTGGCAAAGAAGCAAGACACTTTCTATACTGCTATTGTAAATCGCACCATTAGGAAACTGCTTGGAAATAATGAGGTATCTACTGATACGGATGTTAGAAATGTGCTTTCTGTTAATGGTTTGTAGGCAAGAACACATCGGTATTGCTTCGTTACCATTGTAACTGAACGCACTTTTTGCTTAAATTTTTAGTCTGGTCCTTTTGTTATCTATTTCAATGGCAGTTATTGTGGCTGGCCTCAGTGGGCACAGAACTAATACAATATGAGTGTAAATATGTTCTTGATTACTTGTAGCTTGGGGGAAAAAGAAGACAGTTTTCATAGTGTTGACAGTTTCTGCTGTAAAGGTACTAATGCAGCTTTTAAAAATCAAGGAGAAGCTTTCAAAATCTACACTTATAGACCTGTAAAATTTGGGCTGCATTTTCTACTTACTTAGCAAAACTTACAGCTGGTGAGTTTAAGTATTGCATGATGCATAGCACTGAGACCTCTTCAGTATTGAGAATTCTTGGGTCAGCATAGGCCTTTGAATCTGAAGCTATCTGCTGTTGATGGCAATGTTACAATTTCCCACAGGAAGAAGTAGTTGAGTTGAGCCCTACAGGCCGACCAAAACGCCGCAGTCGAAAACTGGTTGATTATTGTGAAGAACATAATGGTTCACCTGATGACTTGGAAAAATTGATCAGCAAAATGCAAGAGGAAGTAGAAAAAGAGAGGTGCCTGCCCTAAAAGATTAATTGTTTTTTATTATACTGAATATCTCCCTCTTAGTTTGTTTCCAGAGCTTTGCTTATTCAAATTGATCAAGAAGAATGTGATTTCATAATTCACTATCCTTTTTAGCTTTATGATTTGTTTTTTTGCTTTTACATAATATTCGCTGGGCCATGATAGCAATGATTAGGTTGTACCATCATTCACTGACTCATTAGAGTTTGTAGTTAACTACAAGACATTTACTCCTAGACTTGTGGCCTTTGCAGGATCTAGTGATAAAATTGCTTCTTGAGTCCCTGTTTTCATTAGTCGCAGTCTAGGTAGGTCCTGTGACGATAGTGCTATTGATAATCCGCAAAGAGCTAAAATGGTCTAGTGTGAAATGTAATTCCTTTGGGCCATCAGAACATTTTGTTAGTGAAGAACTGTGGTTTCACCAAAGACTCAAGGTCTAAGGTGGTGTTGGGTGCCAGCCAGGGAAGAACTGCTTCCTCTTAGTTATTTGGTAGTTGAAATTTCATTGTAATATCTTAGGTCCTGGCTAAAGCTAGCAATGAGGACAAAGAGCTGAAGAGCTTGGTTTGTTGCTAGGTTTTGCAGGCTTTGCAAGGTTCAGGTAAACCTTTTGTCTCCAATGTCCAATTACATTCACAGGTGTATCTTTCATTGGCTCAAAGACAGGACAAGGGATAGTGCTGGTGTGCTAACTACACTTAACTCCTAGGTTTTTGTGGAATTATTCAGGAATACTTGAAGCAAAGTTTGGGCTCGAGATTGGAGAAAAGGGAGGAGGAGTTTCCTTGCTAAATTTTGTAAACTATGTAGGCTTAAGCTGGGGCCTGGAACCCAAATGGCCAGCATGGTTATTGCTGTTTTGGTGATTAAGATCAGAGTTGAGGTTCAAGACTGAGGGAGCTGAGGAATCGTGTTCCTTCCTCGGTTTGGCAAGGTCTGTTGGTGGCTCTAAATTGGTTGGAAGTCCTTTGGGCATAAGGAAAACCAGGTTAGTCTTCAGGGTTTAAATTTATTTATTTTGCTAGCTTTTTATTGTAGTCCAGCGTACTTTGCAAGAACAGACACACATATATATGTTTGTATTAGTTTTATGGTATGCATGGATCCCTTTTGTTGGAGACGGTACTTAAATGTGGAAGAGCTAAATGGCTGTTTTCGTTGTGAGTCCTGCAATGTGTATGTGTGGCAGAGAGCTGATTTTGGAACAGGTTATGTATTGTTCCATGGGAGATCTGACCATTTGTTCTAGAGAGGGCTTGCTTCTGTTCCCTTTTCTGATGGGTGACTTGCACGAGTTTTTTTTCTGCCTCTGATTACTACTGACTGCCCTTTTGTATTTTAAACCAATAATGGCAAACCCTTGCACCTTCAATGCCAAGTGTGGCACTAAAAGAAGTTTTGTCTGGTAATAGCCTTACTAACTATGAGGGAATCTGAGGACACTTGACACAGCATGTGAATCCATTGCTTGATTTTGGGTTTATTATTTTGTTTTTCTCTTCAGTATCTGTAACATAATAAGGTGACACTTTCTGTACTAATAAGATGACGTATCTTTTCAAGGCCAGTGGTAGAAGTGAGTATTCCCATGGATTCAGAGGTGAACCTTAAACTGCAGAATATTATGATGTTACTGAGGAAATGTTGTAATCACCCCTATCTTATTGAATATCCATTGGACCCTGCTACACAACAATTCAAGGTACATATTTTAAAAGGATTATGAGAAAAATTATTCCAGGCATTAAAAAGCAATAGACTGTGAGCTGACAGCAGTAAAAAATGACCTTTTCAATGTATTTGGCATATGCCTCCCCATTGAATTCCAGCAGTGTACTGAATCATTATTTGAAGCTTCCTGCAGTAGCAGTTGCAGAGACCAGTTCAGCCTCTGTGCGCAATTAGCCTTTGCATAGCGATGCCGTAGTGTTCTTCATTATGGCAACGCTCATCTGCTGGGAGCAAAGTTACTGAATTCAAACAGTAGCTGGGTTCCGTTGACTCAGGGTGTTTTAGGATCTGCCTCAAGTTCTCCTCACAAAGGTTAATTTTCAAAACAAAAATGCTGACCTTGGTTAACTGCTCATGACATACATTGTACACGCGGCAGGAGGTGTGGTGGTAACTTTTAAGTGTGAGGTGTTGAAGGGCTGAACCAAGTACAACAGAGTTGTCTGCTCAGAGAATACAGCATCCTTTCTCCTCCTCAAAAGGGAAAAAATCCAAATTGTATCACAAAGGCCAGCTGGTAGTTTAATTGCACAAAGCAGTTGGCAATATAGGAAAGTATGAAGTAATTTGAATTGAAAAAATCTTGAACAACTGGAAGTCACTTGCACATTTTAAGTGTAGGTTTGTGGACGTGTGTAGTCATGTTTCCTGTTCAGTGAGTGATAACAGATTCAGCTGCACTCGGGAGCAAGCTGTTGAAGTTTATCAATGTAAAGTCAGTGCATAAAAAGCAGATAGCCCTGTCTGGGTGATGAGGGGAAATTAGTTAATGTGTAGAAAACGAAGACTCTCTGACAGTTGACACCACTTGCAGGAGCTAGTACCGGCTCAGGAAAATGGATTAGGAATTATCGAGGTGCCTGCTGTATGGCTCAGACCTGAGAAGTTTCTACATCCCTGCTCTAGGCCCATAGCAAGAATTAGATCTAACAAACTCTCTTGAGCAAAAGAGGGGTCTAAGGTAGCAGTGTGATAACTTGTTCTGTGAACTTTTGTCACTTGGCTGATGCGTAGTAACTTGTTCAGCAGTGCTTCGTTATATCCAGTAGGTGGAAGCCTTGTGCATTAGTTACAAGCTGGGAAAGAAACAGCAGTGCTTTTCCGTGTTGAAAAATTAAAACCATCAGGGTTTCTTCCTCCAGAAAAGGGATGAAAACTAATTAGTCTTTTTAAAAATTATTTGGGCATATGAAATAGTGGGGTTTGATTTAGTTTCATCATGATTTAACTGATTCAATGTAGTTTGCTAAAATTAGTGTTGCTTCCAATCTTAGGGCTTTTAGTTAAAAAGATGGTACAAGCTTGTTTCTGTGAGAAGCTTTCAGACAGCTTTTGTTGGTGCTTATGAGTTGGGGAAACCTTTGGTATCCTTCCTTCCTAATATATGATCCCTTCTCCCTTGTTCCAAGGTTGATGAAGACCTAGTAAAGAATTCAGGCAAGTTTCTACTCTTGGACCGAATGCTTCCAGAACTGAAAAAGAGAGGACATAAGGTAAAGCTAATGATTGGGGGGGGCGGGGGGGCGGCGCACGGGGCATAGTTGTCGCCTTATGACCAAAAAATGGCATTAAGGAATCTTCCTGGTTTTGTAGGTCTTGTTGTTCTCGCAAATGACTATGATGCTTGACATTTTGATGGATTACTGCTATCTGAGAGACTTCAAATTTAGTCGATTGGATGGCTCTATGTCCTACTCGGACAGAGAAGAAAATGTAAGTAGATGTACATGCCCTTTGAGCCTGTTAGCAAATTCTGCTTGTTCCTGTGACACTGGAATATGATTTTGCACAGCATTTAGCCTTTAATAGGCAGAAGGCATCTATGGTGAAAACTGACATCCTTGCTGCTGCTTTAATATTCGCAGCTCAGAAATACTGAAGCAATGAAATGTGTTACTAGCCAATATCTTGGGATATGCCTAGAATGATGAGTGCTCACGTACTCTGTTGCCCAAATGTGAAGTATGTAATATATCTAGATTGGGGCAGATGCTAATCCCAGTTTTACCCCTGCACGTATTGTTTCCTAGCACCCAGGATGTGATGCCAGCATCTATGGGAACGTACTGCAAGTCTAAAGCCAAATAAAGTAGATTTCCAAGAAATGAGTTTTTGTACCTAGTGGGACACCTGTAACTTCACCCTGAAATTGCACATGGATTTGTTGCAGCATAATCCTTTGTTCTCGCATGCTGGTAATGGTTTCAGATAACCACAGATTGCCTTACTACTGAGGTATATATTTATCCTGAAGAGCAGCCATGCAGGGCGGTTCTGGAAAACCACCTCTCTGAGGGTTTGCAGAGATGTAAAAGAGCAAGACACATATGCAGGAAGCACACAGGATGTATCTAGGGGATGTGCTGCAATTGCCATCTGTTCTCCAAAGTATGCACTAGTGTTTATGAAGATAGGGAAAAACAGTGGCAGATGACAGATCTAGCTCAAATTGTGCTTCCCTTTGGCCCATTTTTTTTTTTCTTTGCTACAGTGTGGCTGAGGAAAACCAAACCCCTAAACACTTATATTATTACTGTTAGAGCTGATTCATAAAGAGGAAAGGCTAACTAGCAACAGGTCAGCAAACTATAGCGACTTCTATTAAGCTGGTAAAATTTTGTACTGCTGGCTTATGGGGAATTTTAAGAGTTGATTGTGTGTCTACCACAGTGTGGTATGGGTGCAGAATGAGAGAAATCTTCTAGGTCACCAGTCGAAGTTCAGCAAGGCTGTTCCCAGCTTTGTGATTTGCTGCTGCTGCTGCAGATGCTGATGTCCAGGAGAGCCCAGAGGATATGGGGCTTCCAGAGAGCTTGGGTAGCTGTCTCCACCTGGCAGTGGAATGATGGTTTCTTTTTCTCTGCTTTGATCAAAGTCCTGAAAATTACTATACGCTTCCAGTTTTCTACCAGCATGTGGGTGGTCAGACTAAGTAGACTACGTTTTGACTGGTATTGCAGACCTGGTAGGAAGAAGTAGGCATGTTTTTAGGCTCTGCCAGCTTGGACTGTGCTCACCATGCTCATCACTGGGTGGTAGGTTATGTGGAGTGAATGTGATTTGGACCATACCTATCTATAGTCATCTCCACTCTCTGTGTTAGACAGCTCATTGACTGGAACCATCAGATAAGAAAATACAGTTGCTTCACTTCTTGGTCTTGTCCTGTCCCAAATGCAAGCAATGTTTCTTAAAGTCTTAGTTTGGCCTCTGACAGTGTGTGGTATATTCTATCTGTGTTCATGTTTTTAAACACAGGTGTCTCAAAATAAAACATTAGCTATGTTGTCTTTGATCCATCTGCTGTTTTTTAATAGACAAATTCTCTTCCAGATGCGTCAGTTTAATACTGACCCTGAAGTCTTCCTGTTCTTAGTGAGTACAAGAGCTGGAGGCTTGGGCATTAACTTAACTGCGGCAGACACAGTTATCATATACGATAGTGACTGGGTATGTTGACAGATCGTTAACCTAGTGATATGTGTCGTAAAATGCTTTCTCTATTGCTGCTTTTGATAATCATTTACTAACCTATTATGGTATAGACCATTTCTGTAACTTTAATGAGGTGTTACATGAAGATAACAGTAAGTAGTGTATGCAAACATGTTGTATATGAAATATGCAGACTCATTTGAAAAGTCCTAGCTTATCAAATACAACATTAGAGTTGGTTTCCAAAACTAGCCTGTTTGCCCCTGAGTTAAACCAAAAGGAGGAGGGGTTTTTCTGTTACTGTTGAAGATCCGTTTCCTTCTTTTGATCTAGTATTTGTCTGAACGTAGCCAGACCTTCCACAGGTTCCTTGTTTCCAACAGTTGCCATGTTAGTACCAGCCCCTTGAATTTCCTCCTGTGACTTGCCACATGTGTTTTAGCCAGCTAGGATTCTGCTGCTCCTGTGAGTCTGGAGGCTGGGAAGAAGAGAGGCATGGAAGGAAATGACTGAGGACCCCTGCATCTTCACTTTGTTTTAATAGACAGCTTTGCTGTTTGCATGACTATTCAGCTTCAGGAGAGCTAAAGCAGCTTCAGAAATGGCCGAAAACTTTTTAAATCCCTTTTCCCATCCCCCAGCCAACCCCCCCCCCCCCCAAACCTATAAATAACACACTCAGCTGAATTTGTGACACAAAACATGTCCATCTATTGAAAACTGCAGGACATAGTGCAGGAGCAGTCCGAGCTAGTTGGGTTACTCTGGCTGTGCAGCTACAGCAGCGGAGCTTGTCATGGACGAGTTTAAGAGTAAAGAGATGTAGAGTTCTGTTATACCATGGCTGCCCTGCTTATTTCTTCCACTCTGACTCTTAGAGCTCACTATTGAAAATGCTGCCTGTGGTAAATCTCTTAAAAAAAGGTTAATGATGTAGCTAACTTGTTCCTTTATCTGCTCAGAACCCCCAGTCAGACTTGCAGGCCCAAGACAGGTGTCACAGAATTGGCCAGACAAAGCCGGTGGTTGTTTATCGTCTTGTGACAGCAAATACTATTGACCAGAAGATTGTGGAGAGAGCTGCTGCCAAGAGGAAGCTGGAGAAGCTGATTATCCACAAAAGTTAGTATCTTTCTCTTATGCCTTCCTGTAGCATGTGTTGCTTCTTTAAATCTCAGAGAGAACTCTTACTGCTCTGTTTTGTGGCTGCTTAGTATTTTTTTCTTAAATGCAAAAAGCTTTATCCTCCCAACAAGTGGCTATATAGTATTACTTTTCAAAATGCATTCTTAGACACTTTGTAGATAACTTCTGCAGCAAATTAAAGGAAAGCACTTGTAGTATTTCTGGAATCACCATGTTATGACTACTCTTTTACTAGTAGGTAAGGAAAAAAAGAAGGGTGATGGGACAGCAAGCCTACCTGGAAGAAATATAGGTAAAAACAGGCAATAAGAGTAGAGCTCTGGGCTTGTTGGCAGCTTGTCAGCAAGATGATGGTTTGTTCAACCCAAATGTTTTTGGACTTTTAGCATCAAAAATGCTAGGGGTAGATGACAAGTCCGAGTTGATTATCCTTTTAAAATCAAATGAAATGAACCAGAATATAAGTGGAAAAGCAAATAAAAACATTCTCGCTGCTTGCAGTAATCTATAAAAATTATTCATTTGGAGCAATATGCCTACCTAATGACATCTAGAGCAGTGTTCCATGATGTGAAGTTTTGCAATAGATTTTTCCAGTTGCACTGGCAAGCTTGCTTGAGTAGGGAGCATTCCTATTAAAATTGGTAAAAAGAGGAGAGACTATAGAAAGTTGGTTTCTGGGGGGGTTCCTACTAAACTTGGTTGAGACTGCAAATCCTAGAGCTGTAAAATCACTGTAAAATATTTCAGCATCCTGTTTGCATCTGTCATTCTGAATTTAAGAACAGTATAACCACAGTAAAATAGTCCTGTTTGAACAATTAACCAGTGCTGAATAAAACAATAGTCCTTGATTTTATGTGCAGAACAATGGTGATTCTTGTTGTGTTCTTGATTATATAGCTGGTCATAGAAAGTGGTTGGGTTGAAGTGTCTCTTTCAGGGGTAAATTTTCTTGTTTGGGTCCTGTAGGAATCCTGCTTTGCTTCTGTAGCTTATACTATTTGTGATATTTGGACAATTGCTCCCTATAGTGTGTTCGAAACACTAAGCTCACTTAAAAATACAATTATTGTAACGGGGGGGGGGAAGGCATTTTTTAGAGGGCATAAAGGGGCAGAAAGGCCACACCTGTAACTGTCTACTGCACAGTTTACTGCTTGTCAAGCCTAAGCTGTGGTTTACCTCTGCTTTTGGATGATGTTAGCTAATCTTTGTTAGATGCTTTCTTTATCCTAGCTTTAGCCTTTTCCTTTGTCATCTGTTTGCCACTGCAGTCTTGGTGTGACTACCAGGACTGCCGTCTGACTCTTTGTAGGCGTGTTAATGACAAATTTCAGTAAGAAAAATTTGGTTTTTAATGATTTGATTGTGGTCCAACCTGAAGTTAAAACCAAAGTAGCAAGATGAGCGCACAAAACAGAATGGGCTCTCTTAGTAGATGACTGCCATATACTAAAGTACCAATGGGAACTGGGAGTGGTTGTGCTGGAAGGAAGCAAAGTGTCAAGTTGGATCATGCCTTAAGTTTTGCAATAAGTTCAATATTTATCTTGGTAACTTGGTGAATCATATCTAAATCTTGCAGCTTAGGCAGGGGTGTCCCCTCCAGGAACCTTTGGATTCACTGTGTAGATGTAAAGGTGATGTAATGAATCCTGTAACTTTGAATATATAAAAAAGTGTTGTAACTTTGGAGGGGTGAACGAGGAAGGGATATCACAAAGCTTACTTAAGTCAGGCCTTTCAGTGGTGTCTAACCATGTAGGGTGTGTGCTGGAGCTTAAGAACTGGAATTTGTTGCAAAACAGAATGCTTTTTTGGCCTCAGCACCAGGTTACTCTTTCTGTCTTGTGCTTCTGTTTTATTGAAGAAAGTTGCCTAGGAAACTGTATGAGAACCAGCATGATTTTAGTTAAATTAGTAGATGTCAGACTAAGAGGAAGTGATGGGCATAAACTTCTATTTAAAGTGTTAAGTGCTTGATAGGGTTTCTCTGCACTATTATTGCAACCCAAGACCTGTACAGCACTAATTCAATGCCATGTATTTTGTGAAACTCTGAAAACTAAAAGGGAAAGATGGCATCACTAATAATGTATGACAGGACCTGGATCCTGTGTGTCCAGGAGATGTTAACAGGGGAGAGAATCCTATAGCTCAGACCCCTCTAGAACTTGCATCTGATCTGTGCTTCACAGAGAAACAGGCAGTCCTTGGAGGGAGATGGGAAAAGGTGTGGGGAGGACTGCTGAAACCAAGATATAGGAAAGAACAGCAGTGAGTGTGATGAAAGGGATCGATGAAGACTCATTAATAAAATGGGTACATGTGTTGATAAAAACTGAGGAGACTTGGCACAGAACAATAAGCCTTGCTAGTCTCCTTGAAATATGGAAGACTGAGCTTGACTTCATCCGTGGTCAGCTTTAGTTAAGTAAGAATCTTGTATAATTTTTTTGGATATTTGGGCTGACATCCAGATTTGTGTGTAGATAGGCGTTAGCATAGTCTCATCAAGAAACCAACCTGTCAGGTATATTGTTTTGTCATCTCTGTCTAGTCCATTAAACTGAGGGATGTTCTCTCTGCAAACCACATCTTTCACGTATTTCCTGTCTTGTGGTTAATACTGCTTACTTTGTCTCAACCAGCTTACAATACAAAGGGAACAAACTTCAGCATCCACCATCTAACTTTATTTACAATGTTTTTACTGTAAGTAGAACTAATGGCTTTTCTGCTCTGTGTGTGCGTGTGTGCATGTCGAATTGGTGTTTCAATCAGTTCTTCTGCATACTACAGCTAGAAGGTGAAAGGCCTGCATGTAAACTCTTTGTGTACCTCTGACTTTTTTCACCAGTTAGGCTATTAGCATAAGGTGCGTTTACCTGAGGGCTGAAACAATGAAACATAGCATTAGTTTTGATGTGCAAGAGTAATTTGTTTGATATGTGCATCCAGCATTGATTTAACAATTTACAGAATTTGTTCCTGTCTCTATGTACTTTCTTAAAATTTCTCATTTCTACAGATCAGTTTAAAGGTGGCAAATCTGGTCTAGCACAGTCAAAGAGCTGCCTGGACCCTCAGGAATTAATAGAATTGTTGAAATCCAGAGACTATGAGAGGTATGCAGATTTCATATTTTTCTTGGACCATGAGTTTGTAACTTGCAGCTTGCAAGCAGCTGTCAATAGCTTTCATGTCTTATGAAGTGGTATGTGGATCTTCATAGTGGAAAGAATGTCCTAGGGATTCTGCTATGTGGGAAAACTGACTTCTATGCAATACTAACTGTAACATGCTTTTATCTGTGTTAAGAGAGATTATTTCTTCTTCAACAGGGAGGTTAAAGGATCTAAAGAAAAAGTAATCAGTGATAAAGATCTAGAGTTACTCTTGGATAGAAGTGATCTTATTGGTAAGTCAGAGTTTTCCCCTGTTTTTGTTTGGTGTTTTTTTTTTTTTTCTGTTCAACAGTAAATTCGTATTTTGTAAGAGGCTTTATATGTAGAAAGCTGCCATAGCTTCACTTTCCTACAGCTGTGTTATACATCTGAAGAAGGACCCTTTGGCCCGTTTGCTGACATTTCCAATAGGATTTGCTGAAGAAGAAAGAACTTAAACAAAAGTATTCCAGAAACCCATATTCATGCATAGTGTGCCCTGAGCATACTGTGAATGAAAAGCATAGATTAGGAGTTGTTCTGAAAAGCAACTTTCCCTGTAAGTTGCTGTAATTGATCAAAATAGAAATTATTCTCAGAAAAGATTTATTTCAGCAAACTTGCTTAAAAACGTATTTTGATACTATCATAATTCAAAATATAGTCTCACATTTTTTGGGGAAAAAAATTTGAGCTTTTCAGAGTTACCATGGCTTGTCAGTGGATCAAATATTTAAAAAAAAAAAAATATTTTTTGAGGTTGTCTGCAAATTCTAGTGCTTGACAAGGCCAAGACATAATAAAAAAAAAACCCCTTAAGCTTTCTGAGAAAGGAAAAAATTCTTGCCCAATTCATCTAAACAGTAGATTTAGTATGCTTTGTTTCCTTCAGCATCTTCAGGAGAGAGAAGCCTCAAAGCATAGATACAGGAAAAAATCAGTCATTACAGAATTTGGAAGTAAAAGTGATAGCTAGCCTTAAATAAGTGTCATATGTATAGTTTGAGTAAAATAACTGCCTTAGGAGAACTGTTGCTATACTTAAAAATTTTTTCCTAGATTGTCTAAAGAAATTGTTTTATAAAACTGCTTAGTCAGTTAACTGACTGCTGATACAGAAAATGATTCTGGATGCCCTGATAGTATGGTCTATCTCTATCTTTACAAGTTCAGGCTGTGAAATAATCTGATTTCTGCTTGCATGTTGGAAAAGGTGCCATTTATTTTGTTATTAATATGCATCATATTTATAATGGTTGCTTTTTTTCCTTGGCTATACTAAGCAAAATTAGTATATTAAAATTATCAAAAAATGTTTATACAAAGATATTAGTCTAGCATTATGTACTGAATATTTACTACAGCTAATTGCAGTTAATGCTTTAGAAACTGAAATGGCACCTGCTACCCCTGTAAGCCATAATTATTAAATTTGATATAAAGACAATACTTTTTCATTAGCTTTATATTCACTGGAAGGGCAACATAGTGATTGCAAGTGCTAGGAAAACAAGATGTAGGTCTTTGAATATTGCTTAGCAGAGTCGTACCTTTCTGTGTTTCTCCTAGTAACGTCACTAAATAGGTTTACTGCATTCTGTTTTCTTCTCAGGAAAATGAGACTAGTTCAGGCAGATTTTAAAACTGTTTATCTCTATTCAGATTTAACCAGAGGTGCTGGAATTTTTCTTGTTTTGTTAAAGTACATGACATATTTTCAAGCACAAACTTTAGTAGCAAACTGTTGATGAAGGGAGCAAAATGTTTTTATTGACTTGCTTTCCAAATGCAAACAAAAATACATACAACTTTTATGTCTGCAATAGTAAGGTTGCAGACACTTCAGCTGTTATTGTTGATCTTTGTTTTGTTTTAATCCTAGATCAAATGAAGACCTCTGAAAAAATGAAAAAGGAAAAAATGGGTGTCTTCAAGGTTCTAGAAGAATCGTCAGATTCCAATGCAGAATGTGTGTTTTAATGTGCAAATGTGGCCTGTAGTCTTACAGGAGAAACGTATGACTGACCTAAGATCTTCCAGAGATGTCACTTACACGTACTGATCCTTTACACTGACTTTCTTTAAGGCCTTGTTCAAATCCCTTGTGTTCTTTCAGTGAATTTTAACATGTTCTACAGTATATAATGCAGGTGATAGTTTCATGTTGTAGCTTTGGTAGGCTCTCATAAAGAATTAAGAAAATGAGCATGTTTCACATCTGCAGCTAGCTCTTGTGATCAGTGGTAAAAACTGGCAAATTTGTTTGAAAAAAAAAAAAAAGCTTCCTGTGGAAGTCCTGCACCACTTTTTTTAATATGGTGTCAATTATGGTTTTATTTAGAAGGGAGAGAACATGTGCCTTTGTTACAGCCAATTGTGTAGCTTCTGTTTTTAACTTCTGTGAGTATTTTGATTAAATAAATGTCTGGTTTGTCCCAAAAGTGTACGGTTTTTAGCATAGCTTCTTAAATAAGCAAAGTGTATGTTGTGTCCATTAATTGACTCTTTTCCTACTCAAAAAACAAAACAAAAAACCCAAAACAACCCCACAAAACAGGCAGCTTGAATGAGCCCCAAAACCCCAGAGTTTTTCTGGTGCAGACATTATTTCTGTATTGACTGGCTTGTCAGCTTGCACAGCTAAGGTGCCTGTTTGAAGCACGTGGAGGGAGCTAAGGGTAAGTGCAGAATGTCTCTGTGGGTGTGTGGGTGACCGAGGAGTACTTTCTGGGAAGGGAGGGTTTGAGACTACAGTGGAGCAGAAAAGACACGTGAAGGATATTATTTGCATATGTAGCCTGTAAGAGCCAGCTGTAAGCAATGATTTTCAACTTGGGCATCAGGTGGCTTTTAAACTTTCAATTCTGGTTTGTGAAAATGTCATCTATGTGCAATTAGAAGCTGCAGTCATGGAATTGCAGCTGGAGCTGTCACAGTTGCAGTTGTGCTAGTTATGCCAAGGCATAGGTAACTTGGAATAAAATAAAATCCTACCTAATGTATCAGACTTTGGAAACTAGTTTCCAGTCACTTTATGATCATTCTTACTCTCCATAGAGAGTAATGTTAGCCTGATTTAGAGAAAGTTATTTTATATTGGTGAGAGATGTTTATCCTTACCTCTATAAGGGAACAAATAAATCTTTTAATGAGTAGGCTGGCTTTGACCTTTGCCTATTGAAAGCCCTGTCTTGTTTCTAATTGGAGACAAAAGTTTCTAAGTTTTCTGCTCAGTTACTTATTAGCCTTTATTAATGCAAAGTCCAACACATGCTGTCTCCATGTGGTACTTATATTTGCTGGGTTTCTATGCTAGTCTCCTTCGTGCATTGTTTTATGTTTATTGTTTATTTATAGCAAAGACCTACTACAAGATTTAAGAGTAAATGATGTATCTACAAAAGTATCTAAGTGGAATAATTGTAAAAGTTTTAATAACTGACATAACTGCTTCCACACGGGCTTGCCTAACTTCTGAAGACTGATTTACGCTGCTCAGCCTGCACAGCTACCTGAATGTCACTGCAGAGCAATATGGTGGAAAATAAAAATGAACAAGAGTTTCTATCCCATAGCCAGCACAGCTAGGACTTAATAATAATGTAATAATAATTGTTGCCTTCCTAAAAATGCATAAACTGGCACTAATACTAATGGTAGCATTAGTGAAAAGTGGTCGCTGTTTAGCAATGTGTGGAGCTTGATGTTATTTAGAGAGACTGCAGATCTGTGGCTGTTTTTCTAGTCCACCTTCAAAAAGTGAAAGCAATGCATTTTTTGCTTGCTGCCAGAGGAGCCTATCTCTCTGTTGTCCCCCCCCCCTTTTTTTTTTGGCTCCCAAAGTACTCTGAATGTTGTTGATCAAAGCAAGCCCAGTACCTTCTTGGTGTGACCTTGCATTTCTTATTCCTGCAGTTGAGAGTAACGTTCACACTTGCTATCCACCTGAACTATGAAGGGGCAGTCCAGTATTTGTGCCCTTAATGCCCAGGGGCAACAGCCCTTCTGCTGTGAGGGATGCTGGTGTTTCAGAAAGCCGTCTTCCTTTGTACAGGTGGGGGGAGATCCAGAAGAAAATGCAGTAATGACGTGAGGAGGGTTGGGGTGAGGGGCGTGACTGGTGCTAACATTTTTAAATTGTTCTAGGTGAAATAACATCCCCTTGATATTGTCCATTAGAGGGAAAAAATATTTCAGTAGATAGAAGACAAGTTCTTGAAGCACAGATTTGTCCTGGTGACTTGGAAGCGGTGCTCTTGCCCCATGCTGCACCCAGGTATGCTCAGCTGTTGTTCCTCCTGTTGGGGGTGTCTGTGGATGTTTGAGTTGTTGAGAAATGCATGGACAGAAAGATGGGGTCTCAGCTTGCTTGTGTGTTGCTACTGTGTGTCTATATGCAAGTTTCTTTTTTTTCTTTTTTAAATCTGGCAAGCAACTCATATTCTTTGCCAGGGAGAGCTGGGGAGAGGCTGCTCATGGTTTTTCCAGGGATGACAAGAAAATGTGTGGTAAACTTCTCTCACATGTTAGAATCTATTCAATGGCATTCGACCAGTACTCGAATGCACTCCACACATACCATCATTCGGGTATTCTTACTTACCTGCCTAGCAAAGATGATTGAGCTGCCAAGACCCCACCTTGACAACAGTCTGAGCTCACAGGGTTGCCATTAGCAAATGAAACTCACATGTGCAAGCCGGAGCAACTGGCCGTGCTGCTCAGTGCTGTTTTGCTGGGGGGAGTGTGGTGGTGATGGGGTGGGAGGAGGTGACAATGAGAGGTCTGTCTTGATGATGCTGTTTGTTTGTTTGTTTTTAACCCTTTTCTATCTGCTTTATCTCCTGGGGGCCAGCTCTGTTGAGTCACTGCCAGCAGCGGGGTCTTTTCAACTGTGTAAATGTTTTTTAAAAGTAGTGATTTGTGTTCTCAACTCGGAAGGGAGGTGTGCTCCTTCATCCCATGCAAGCTCTCCTCTCCAGCCTGCCGTGGCCCACAGCTCATGCTGTGCTCCCCAGCTTTCCACGCCAGGCTGAGCTTGGCACCCTGTGCCGCCGGGCTCCCACAAGCCAACAGGGAGCAGCAGTACACAACCCCTGTCTGCTGCACAAGGAGGAATGGGAGATGTGGGGTGGCAGGGAGAGGCCACAGCCAGAAACCCAAGTAATCTGTGTTAAAAATGGCAGATTGTGCTTTGTGCTGTGCCACACACCTACATGAGACGGTCGCTCTTTGGTGCTCACTTAAAAACTGCCTGACACTCTTCAGATAGGAACCTTTTACACATTATCTTACGTTATTGCTAATGTCTGGAGCAGGCGGCTCAGTGTGGTTGCAGGCGTGACCCCATTTAACCTATTTTGTTATTGTTGACAAACTCCAGATGCCAACTGTTAAACTCCAGGGGACTTTGGAAAGTCAGACTACAGTGAACACTGCAGTTGCCAAATATTTTGTCCTGCATCATAAAAAAATGAATACATTCTTTTTTCAGCAAGCTACAGCAGAGAGTGATCGAAGTCCTCCCCAAGTAACAATGTGAATTGCCTCGCTAGCCTGTTCTCATAGTAATAAATTTGATCAACACTGGTATCTGCATTAGAAGCCTACACCTCCAGAGCTATCCCACAAACGTTTTGTAGTTCCCGGTGCCCCGCACAATCAGTGTTTTCCCGGCAGTGCTGCCAGGCTTCGCTGCAGGGGCTCGGCCTGGGCGATAAAGCACGGAGCCCTGGACAAAGCAGGGCTTGTGGTCTGTTTGCAGCGTGGGGCCGGGGTGGGGAGGGCAGGGGAAATGCCAGGCATGGTTCAGGCTCTTCCATCCTGACCCCCTGACGCAAGAGCAAGCTCGTGAGGTTATCTGGAACGAGCCACGTTTTGCTGACGGATGTTTGTACAGTATGAAAACAGTTGGTGACTTTGCACACGCTGGAGGGCTCAGCCCACGCTGGCATTGGGGTGCAGCACACCAGATGGCCCCAGCGGCCAGCATTTTCTTCCTGCAAGGCAAGCAGCCAGCCAGGGGTGGCGGGCAGCCAGGAGCCCACAGCCTGCTGAGAAAGTGGGCAGCATGGAGCGTGCAGTGCTGGGAGCAGCCACGGTCCCACGCCACGGCAGGGCCTGAGCACTGATTTGCGATGCGGCAATCTGTTCGTACAGGTTTACTCCTTCAGCCCTTTTTGGCTTTTTGTCCAGTCCAGCCTGCCTGCACCTGCCAGCGCTGCAGCACAGAGGGAAATGCGCTGTGGAGGGGAAAGAATTAACCCCCATTAGCAGCAGCAAGGGGAGATGCCACCCCAGCAGGCCAAAAAAAACCCCACTCTCGCCCTGAAAAATAAAGCTGCTTGTGCTAGCATCTGGAGTTTGTGCAGGTCTGTGCAGGCATGTGCCAGCAGCACAGAGAAGCCAGGCTTTTCCCAGGGATGAGCTGGACAAGGAGTTTGCTGGTTGAGCTACGCCATCCTCACTTGCCACTGCCCATAGAAGGAGCCTGAGGGGATGAGCTAAAATTAGCTGGGTCGGTGAATTGGTCCCCTCCCAAACCTGCCAAAAAGCTGTACAGTTGAGCTGGACAGCGGGAGGCTTATAATCTTGGTGCTAGGTCAGCTTTACCTCAGATGAGGATTTGGTTTTGGGTTGTGTTTTGGTTTTGCTTTGTTGGGTCTTTTGGCTTTTTTTTTTTTTTTTTGCAAGGCAGCTGTGCTGTGGTGTGATTCATCGTGAAGGAGAGGAAACACGGGGCGTAGCAGTAAAGCATTGCTGGAGATGGCCAGGACTTTCCAGGACCTTGTCTATAGCTGTTGCAGATGCACCCACTAATCCCAGGGGCGGAGGCGGCCCTGTGCCTGCCAGAGAGAGCCTGTATGCGGCTACAAACCCTTCTGTTTTCAACCTCTGTCAATTTGTTTTAAAGCAAAGATGACACTACATCTTAGAAACCATTTATTTTTACACCAGAAGAACAGCCATTATCTCATTCAGAAGTGCGAGCAGAGAAATAACTTCACCGCAGACCACCTCTTTGCTATACCTGGGTGGAGGCACTGTTGCTCGGGCACCATCAGCCCCTCGTCCAGTGCACATGGGGCATGTGCCCCCTCCCCACACTAACCCCAAAGGCACCCTCCAGCAGCCATGCATGTCTGGTGGCACGGGGAGCCAGGCGATGCCTCTGGCAGCCACACGGGGCCTTGCACAGGGACTGTCCCAAATGTCTGCAGACAGAAACAACCATGGCCGTGGGGTCTGCCCTGGGTTGGACCA